TTTAGACTTAAAACTTTCGTGACTGCAGGATTTCATATTCTTGGTTCTTTCGGTAAAGTCACGTCGATAGAAAACAAAAATCTAAATCTACACCTGATGAAGACCACTTGTGTTGCGATCGAAACGTCGTGGGATTTTTTGCTTTTAATTTACCGAAAGAACCAAGAATACTAATACTGTATATAATGTTATTAATTAATTTCTTACATTTATTATTTGGAATGACTCCTGCAGTTGCAAGAATGTTGAGTTTCTCAAACATTTACTGTGGTGATTGCTTTTCTAAAGCTAATGTGTTGTTTTTTTGGAACTTCACCAATCCAGTTATTGCTATAATAACGCCATATTGTCATGTCTTCCGAGTTTTGTAGCCTCAAATCCGACCCCTATCATCAACAAAACATAATGCGAGTGGAATGTGTATGTTATATAAGATAGATCTGTCGATGATATTACACCAATGTCTATTATTACATGTCATTTTCTCTGCTCCAGCAGCTGATCCAGCAGACCCCCCCTCTCTCTCTATTTAAGGCCTCGACACAGAGGCATTGGGTCTCTGTGTGTCTATGTTGTGTGTCTCTCTCTGTGTGTCTGTGTTGTTTCTCTGCTCGTGTGTCTATCTGTGTGTCTCCGTGTCTGTGTTTTGTCTCTCTCTCAATTTAGTTCTACCTGATGACAGTTGCTTGTGTTGCAATCGAAAAGTCGTATTCTATTATTTAATGTATTTTCTTTCTACGTGACTTTACCGAAAGAACCAAAGAGTAATTCCTGCAGTCACGAAAGCTTCAAATCAAGTTTTAGGACAAGCGGTTAACTTATTTAGTTTTTTTAATTGCATTCGTCGCTTGTAGGCAATCAAGAATTAATATTTGAGCAAACAGGCAGACTTGGTACACTTAGTTTCCTGTTATTGGGTTCCTTATATACGTGGGTTTATTCACCAGCATTGGTTCTCATAAACTTGACTGCCGATGAGCCTGGATGTTATAACCAGTCTGCTTGTATTGAACCAATGCTGCTGAAATTATGCACGCCCAGAAGGCTGTAGGGCTAATTGGAGGCCGACATACTGTGCAAAATACACGATTGTTTTGTTATGTGGACAGACAGATCTATGAACGAGACATATTGCTTATCTATGCTGTGGGGTTTATCATCTCAGAATTTGCCCCTCTAATATTATTCCGACCATGTCCCCGTTTGCTTCATATTCTCCTCTTACTTGCAGCAGAGAAACATACATCTACTCACACATGCAAACACGGCGTGTTTCTTTGTTTTCTGTGGACTGTATTCTCGCCGAGACTTTAGATCCATAACTCTTGCTTTCTTTCCATCCCTCACTGCTTCTCATCCATATTTCTTCCTCAATCACTCTCTCTCCTCCGTAACCTCTCCTTCCTTTCAGCAAATCGATTGAAAGTGTCCGTTGGCGCTAAAGATTTTTTTCACGAGCGTAACGTTAATCTCACATGAAAAGGGGGAAGCATGCAATCATTGGCATTTCTTTTTTTTTCAAATCACAAACGGTTTCTAAATAAACGTACACCCTAATTTCGCGTAATACTATACCTTCAAAGTAAACGAATCTTGTTTAACACAAGCAAAAGGAATGCAATGTTCCGCTGTTACAGGGCCACTGCTGGGTTGTTTTCTATTTGTTTCAGTGTCAAGCTGTGAGTTATTATGGTATTTGCTTTTCTTTGCGTAAACGTTTATGTTCTGGAGTGTGGTGATCGTAGCGTTCTCGCAGGTGGCAAGCTATGCGCGCCAAACAGTGAGTCATACATTCAACGAAAGCCTCGTAAGGCCCACTGAGATATATAGCTATTTATCAGAAGCGACCTGACCACAAATGATAGCTCAACGAAGTGGATAATCACGCGGAAATGTATTGCAGCCAAACACTCTAAAAGCATGTTTGTAAATGTGGAGGGAAAACTGCAAGACCCGGAGAAAACTCCACGCGACCACGGAGAGAACACGCAAACTCCAAATATACAGCAGGCGTCAGGGTTGGGATCGAACTCACGACCTCCTGTATGCCAGGCGAGGGAGTTGACATCTCGAATTAGTTAAATACCAAATACCAATTGAAATACCAAATGCCAATTAATGCACAATCATTGTATCGCAACGTTCGGCAGTAACCTTCTGTCAGACCAAATGCATTAGAAGTTCCATGTCATTACTATGCACATACAAAACATCTGTTGAAATTGTCCATTGTTAATTATTGGAAATCAGTTTAAGTAAACGTTGGTGTTGAGTTTGCAATATAAAATTTTACAACACATTTTATCATTGCCAATTTTATTTTTCCAGTTTTTATTTTACATAACTAAAGTTTGCCTAACAAACGTTGAATGTTTATGTGTCCCATCTTCCTCTACACCTTGGGCATGTATTATATATTTAATTCACAATTATATAGCAATGTGTGAACGTTTTACATTTTACTTGGACAATTCTTGCTCTGGAATGCTAAATTCATTTGTCACATTCAATCACTCACCCGTGTGTCATTGTTTATGTTTTAGCTGGAGAGTGTGAAATTATGACGTATGCACTGCTTCCACGAGCCAAAATACCCAAACTGTGTTAAGGGACATTTACAGAATGAAGCTTGCAAAAATGTTAGTGTTTGTGTGTTTCCGTGAGAGTATACCTAAGTGTGCAAGAATGTTGAAACATTACAAAAATAATTTGATTTGCTCAGCGAGGTCACAAATTACTGCTGTGAAAACTCGTGTCATTGTAAATCTTGGAGCACGTTATTTTTCAGTCCCAACACCGATAGTATGTTTATTAAAACATGCTAAGGTGATGCCATCATGGTGCACTGTTCAGCACACTGGGCCTGATATCCACATGTCACCGGTTTGATTCCATCTCCCAGCACATTCGACCACTATTGAGTTGTAACGTAGCCATCACAGTGGCATGTAACATACTATCGCCAAGGCTCAATGATTGCAACTCACTACGCAAGAGGACGTCTGGCAAAAAACATTTCCAAGGTCCAGCGTGTAAAAAATCCCTTGGCGCATGTCGTGACAGGTACTGCAAAATCCGATCATGTCCGTCCAGTGCTCACCAAGCTGCATTGGCTTATGATTCCCGAACGAATGCATGATGAGGCTGCACTCATTACACACACAGTGCTTGCCACAAATGAACCACAATACCTTGGTGATCTCGTCAAGGAGCATCAACCATCACACACGGACTCCCATCATCCTCGCAGCGGCTTTTGGTTCGCCATCGAACAAAGACGGTTACTGCATCGTGCTTTCAGATGCACTTCTGCGGCCGTCTGGAACGCTCTTCCTTCCAATATTAGGAAGCCACTGAAGCTATCATATAGATTGAAAACTCATTTATTTCGAATTGCTTTTTGTGTTTAGTTTGTTGTCCTTCCCCCACATCTCCTATCAGCACGGGTGGCTACGCATGGTACAAAAGAAGGTCAACGTACATACGAAACCATGGGAAGGTCTCCTTAAACCCCCCCCCCCCCCCCCCCCACTGCCAACCCACCAGTAAACATGAATACTCCAGTTTTGCGATTGGCAGGTCACTTCTGGTGGCGTAAAGTGTGGGTAATTCTCTTCCTAGATGTCTGGCCAGCGTTGAAGAGTAGGTCAAACTACTTTCTATCGAGGACTCCTCTGGAGGCTTCATCCAGTGCAGGCCCTTCTGACACACCTTTCCCATTGAGTGCACCACTCTCTCTTTTACACAGCGAACAAAAGCAGCATACTGTGTGGCAGAGGATAACCTCTTAAATGACATTGGGCCAAGGAGTTATGCCTCGGAGTAGAAAACGTATAACAGCAAAGACATTTTTTTTAGAAGCCAACAGTGCTTGTCCTGATAAAGGACTGGACCCTGCCATAATGATGTGGAATTTCCACTACTTATAGCCACCAAAAAATACATGCTCTGACCAAAGCTTATTAAGGTCAAGCTGACCGCACATGCTGTCTGGTGAATGATCGCCCTGCCAGTCGAACTCCATGACTTAAACAGCTCTCTGATGCGTTGCGGGTTGTACTTGCATGTTTTTCGGGCCTGACGTTTCAACGCTCCAGGTGCTGGGAGCCTCTTCAGGAATGTAATTGAGCAAGCAGCTCGTATTTTCCCTCAATTATACAGCATTGTGAGCTGCTGCTTTTTGCTGCTGATTTCTGCTGTTGGCTGGGTGACGTTATTTATTTACTTCATCTTGGAGGAAATTGCAGTATCAAGATAAACACAAAAAATGTATCTGAGAGCTATGCAGCGCAACTACAAGAACCTACATATTGATATGCATAACTATGACCTTTCAACAGTTTATCCAGCTCAAGTATTGGTGAACCTCCACCTCCTCCTTCGTATGGCTGATGTAGATAAAGAGCAACAACTATTATTATACATGATGTGGTGGGGCCAGATGATTGCGTCTGGAATTAGCGGAGTGTATCTCTGTGACGATGCCTCCTTCGTATTTGTGAATCAGCCATTGAGTCCTGATCTGTTCCAAGGATCTGTTCTGTGCGACCACAGTCACCACACACTGAGCAAAGAGTTGTTTTATTTTCCATTTGCTCCTGGAATTGATGCGGTTTAGGTTTGCCCAAGTGCTGATGATGATATTGATGGTAATTATGATGATCAATTGCACAAAACAAGTACAACTTTTTATTTTACCAGGTCAAGCCCACTGAACTACAGAGCTCTTTTTTCAGAGGCGACCTGGCCACAAATGATAGCTCAATAAAGTGGCTTATCAATTTATAGCAGCCAGATAATCGAAACGCTTTTTTGTAAATGTGGAGGGGAAAAACTGGAGGACCCAGAGAAAAATCCACACGACTGCGGGGAGAACATGCAAACTCCAAATATACAACAGGAGTCAGGTTCCGGATGGAACCCACGACCTCCTTAATGTTGGGCGATGGAGATAACATCTCGCCACCGTGATGCTGACACTGATACCACTGTGAATGCAGGCGAGATCCGCTGCTACTGCGACGCGGCGCACTGCGTGCCCACGGGCTACATGTGCAAGTCGGAGATGTCCGTGTGCTTCCGTCGCCTGTTGGAGCCCACGGACCCGCGCTCGCCGCTCGCGCACGGCTGCATCGAGGCCCTGTCGCCCTCGCCGCCGCACCCGTGCCACGCGCCGCGCCCCCGCAACCACACGGGCCGCTGGCCGGTCGTGCGCTGCTGCCAGGACGACATGTGCAACTACAACGCGCTGAGCGACCGGCTGCCTGCACTGCCGGCTCGTGCAGACACCCCCGGTGAGAACTGCACCATTGTTGTGTTTAATTTGTTGTCCTTCCCCAGCACCTACGGTTAGCCCAGCGGGCTATGTATGGTGTGAAATAAGTTCAACATACATACATAGAGATCATAACCCCTGCACCACCTCATGCTTATCTGAGTTAATTCTAGATTTGAAGCTTTCGGGACTGCAAGGATTCATATTCTTAGGTTTTTTCGGTAAAGTCACGTAGGTAAAACATCAAAATTAATAAAAAAAAAAATAAAAAAAAATCACGACGTTTCGGAGGCAACACAAGTCTCCGTCATCAGGTGGGACCGTCACAGCCGGATTGGCTACCACATTCTGATGAGCTCCCCCCCCCCTCTCCTCCCCCTCAACTTGCTTTTTAAGGGATTACATCTTGAATCATTGCCTCACTTGATGCAGCTAATTCGGCTGTGGCGGTCCCACCTGATGACGGAGACATGTGTTGCCTCCGAAACGTCGTGATTTTTATTTTATTTTCATTCATTTTGATGTTTTACCTACGTGACTTTACCGAATAAACCTAAGAATAAGTTCAACATACATACATAGAGATCATAACCCCTGCACCTCATGCTTATCCGAGTTAAGGAATAAGACACCAGGGATAGAGATGTTTATTTAAACACATGGCATAGATAGGTTCTAAATATTAAACGTTGGTAATAATCGTTATACTTTGCATTGTATCTATACTATTGGTGTCAATTCCCATACATGCCCTCTGTGTTTACCTGATGTGATTGTTCAATCACATACTTTTGGAGAGAAAAAACGTTTAGATCGTCAATAAGATTAATTTGCTCCCACGTTGACTGGACATGAATGTCATGATACAGTATTTGGTTGTTACATTCATGTATTCCAACTCGGACCAAAGCACCCACATTTTTGGCTGAATTACTAGACGACAAACACTGCTGATAGGGAATATATGGGCACGTCATTGATCGTTAAATGCAGGGGCGGTTTCTTCATTAGGACGATTGGGCGACGCACCACCAATGTCATTGAACCACAGAGTCACGCTAGCCGTTACTGTGCCTCTGGATATAGTCCAATCAGCGTCATGCTACGTTCTGTGGAGTACCGCCTCTTTTTGGGCGATTTCACTCTGGCTGAGAATCGCCCCGAGTGGCCCCATAGACGTACATTCAAAGATGTTTTTTTTCGAACGGCGGGCACTCCAATGCATTCTCTATGGCTTCCGGGAGGGCTCGCACTAACGTGCTTACGTCATCATACGTAAGCACGTTTCAGTCAACAATGTTATTTGTCGCCACCTAGTGGAATCTTTAATAAAAGAAACTGAGTGGATTGTAATAATAGTGAGTATAGAAACAAACAAGATGTATTGTAAGAGTCACTTTATTTTTCATTAATATTAAAGAAGTGAAGTTGCCTTTACATGCTTAAGCTGTTAATTTATCCATTGCATGGGTGGACCTTTGCCCCCCCCTGAGAGATTTTGCAGGAGCCGCCACTGGTTGAATGAGAGAGGATGATTGAAGTGATTCAGATGTAGTTCTGTGATGTCATCTTCCAAGGCTGGTCCTCGACTCAATTTATAAGACTGCTCGCTCTGAGAGTTCTGGAATATTCTTCATTTGCCACTTCACAAATTAGGTTGTAGTTGATGATAAAATTACATGGGCAAAGTCCAGAAAAGGGTTGCTGCTATGAAATTCGAGTGTTGTTTGTAAGTGCCATGTGCTGCCTTCTTGGAGGTGACATGTGTCTACTGTGCAGCAACTGCAGGTAGAGGTGTGGTGACATCAACGGCTCTGGCTATGATGCCAATCTTCTTTCAATCTTGATTTTGCTCCTAATGTTCAAAAGCATCCACACCTTTCGTACAACGACAAAAAGTGCATTAACACTGCAAGTGGTGAAACAAATGGTGATGGGCAGTCAAATGGTTGCTACCATTTGGTGTCTCGCAGCATTGGCTTTGGCCAAGGTGACTTCTTGATCTTAAAAAAAAACTTTATTAAACTGCTTGTTTTATTGATTTTAATAGCAAATTATATATATGAACCTTACAGCAGTTCCCCGGGGTACCATAGTACCCAGGCTCTCGCATAATGTCCGTGATGCAGTCATTTTTAGTCTGCTGATGGTCGGCGATGCGGCACTCGGCTCATCTCGACGAGCTGTGCACGATGCACCACCACGGTGCGTTCAGGGTTTCAGCGAAATCGTCCTCGCTGCGTTTGGACATCGCAGAGTAGCACTGATTTCGGATTGATTGGAACTCCAGTCGCGGAGTTAAGTACACCCCTCGAAAAAATAGTGTCCCAGAAATAAAATGTTGAATTGCCTCGGCCATTTTGTATTATTTGATATCCCGGGGTACTGCCATAAGGATCATATATTTTTTTTAAACTGTTCTTAAAATACATAATTTTTATGTTATTTGTGCTGGTAGACCTGACAAATGTGAAAAACAACCGCGTCTGACATGCTACGTAACTTGGCAATGTTATTATTATTAATTATCGCTGCTAAAACAATGACGCACGGTATAGTAGCTTCCAAGATCAGTTTCATTCACGGTTTAGCAGCTTCAATGTAAAGGGTTAAAAATCCATCGGCAGGATGCTTGGACAAGTCGGGGAAGTCATTCTTAAAAACCCCCAAAGGTTAATGGCTCTTGTCTCCTGTGACCTTGCTGGTAATGGAGGGAGAGTAATGTGTGGTTAGCTGAGACCCTGCATTCCGCGTGTGTATGGGTGCTCGTGTGTGCACGTTTGCGTGCATTTGTGGGTATGTGAGTGCATCAGTGCTATGATAGTTAGAACCCTGCTATGACCCCAGTGACCGAGGTTCAATTCCAAGGCATTGCATCATATAATATGCACCTGAACCTGGTCTGTGTATCTTGTGGGTTGGCTCAGACTAAGATTCATATCGAGTTTGGTATTACATTGCAGAAACCGCCCTCTCACATAATTATCCTGTGCCCCTCAACAGCATTCGTTGCAACAATGTAAAGAGACGTTAGACTACTCATGTGCATGCCCGTATTGATGTGTGGATGTATATGAGTTCATCCTGGGTGCAGAGAGACTTGGAGGTCACTGCAGTGCCTGTAGTTGATCATGTGACATCCAAACAAAGACCACAAATTTGACGAAGCAATGATTGTTGCATTAACAACATGGTCTATATGAAACACAAGTTGGTTGGGTTTCAAGATTATTATAAAATAAAACCATGTAGCCAAACACAAGCACACTGCTTTGGGAGCAATTCCATGTGTGCTGATATTCAAAGTGTGCTTGTATCAGAATCTATCCTTTGCCTCCCCCATCAGTGTGATATAGGAAGTGTTGCTTATATCAGAACTGCGCTTGCTAAACGTGCACCATCTCTAGCTTCTACCACAATATCAGGGCCCACGTGCGCGTCCGCTATTCTCACTCCGCCTCCTCCCTTGCTGCTGCGCCCCCTTGCCCCCCCCCCCCCCACCGGTGGTCTGGCAGCAGCAGAGCATGCGCCGCGGGGCGCCGGCGGTCCCGGCCGTGGTGCCGGAGGCCTCCCCGCGGCGTGGCCCCCGTCGGACGCGAACGGCTCGCGCGAGCTCTGGTTCCGCGCCGCTGTCATCGCGGTGCCCGTGGCGGGTGCCCTGGCGCTCGCCCTGCTCGTGGTGCTCGCCCTGCGCATGCTGCGCAGCGAGTCGCGCTGCCGCCGGCGCGACGCCGGTGCCCGGCGGCGCCTCCCGTACAGCTGGCCCCACCGCGAGCCGCCTGGGGAAGGCCGCCGCCGCCGCTGCTGCTGCCCGGCGTGCGAGAGGCTGGGGTGCGTCCGCCCAGTGCGCAGGCCTCCCCCGGCGTGGCCTTCGCTGGCGCCCTCCTGGGGCCACGTCTACGGCGGGCAGAAGACGGATGGCGGCGCGGGTGGCGCGAGCTGCGTTCGCAAGCCGATGCCGTGGTCCCTTGGACGCTGGGGCTCGTCTGGCAGTGCCAACGAGAAAGTTGCGTTTGTTTGAGGCACAGCCCGGAGAGGGGGTGGGGAGGCTGCTGCTGCTCCTGCTGCTCCTGCTGCGTTGGCTGCTGTGGCCTCAGACTAACAGTGGGAGATGCTGTCGGTGTTGTTATTCAATTGTACACAAGTTTAAAGAGCACATCGTTTCACCGTCGTTAAAATGGGCTGGTTTTTCAGTACAGCATGGTTATATATCGTTCACTTTTTTATGTAAGCCTGATGTTGTTGAAAGCAGTTAAAAGAGAAAAAGGGGAAAAAAAACAAGAATAACTTATAGGCCTATTTGGAAGACTTCAGGGCAAGTCTTGTGAAATCTGGGGAGGAAGCCCTGAAGAGCCGGGCCACAGAGCCCCCGTGTGTGGACCGAGCCGTCACTTTGCTCCACGGACTATCTTCGCTCCTCGTGGTGACCTGACAGCCGAAGGGAATCACTGCTGATGAGGAACTGAAACTTTGTGAACTGCAGTGCATGTTCACGACAAATACATGTGTCTTTTTTACGTATCTTTTTTGTCTATGTTTATGTTTTAAGTTTATGTTTACTGTCTTGCAGAGCGGACTATGGCTGAAGCCACTTGGTAAAATACTGTAGAGTGTGTTTTTTTTCCCCACGTGTGGACGCATTATTCTTCAAGGATGACGTCATGGTAATTTCTAAAAAAAATGTAGTACGTCAATTTTACGGTGCGTTTGGATGTTGTCCGTAAAGTTGGTTTGGGTTTGCTTGTCATTTTAAAATAATATATTTTCCCTGTTGAACAGAACACTTGTGGTTTGTCTTATTAACGTTCGATATTATTTAATGTGTCCACGACACTTCCGGCAATGTCATTCGGATATTTTTTACAGAACACCTCCAGCAGAACTTTAAAACCATATGACAAGTAATGTTAATAACCCTTTCCCAATTGGGATGACGTACATCTACATGTACGTCATCCGTTTTTCTTTTGATTCTGTTCCGATGATGTACATGTGCATATTTTTTTTTGTTATGTGCATGCATTTGAATATTGCCTGGAGCCATTCTATATTAAGTGTGGTTATTAAGTTAGCGTTTTTGTGCACACACGTACGTGTCCATCATCACAACGGAATCGGAAGGGAAACTTTATCGGTACGTCTTCAAGTCGGAAGACGTACCGAGGCTCCCTCAAGGCCATGCGGGGGATTGCGTGGGACAATTTGGCTGCAGCTATCACAGAGTGCGGTCGTGCTACTACAGTTCTCTGCAGTCAGTACAATGTCTTTAAAAACAATGGCTCTCTGCCTTTCTAAATAAAATTCATGCTAACTGCTTGTGCATTCCGAGATTCAGTGGTGAACGAAACCTACCTTGCAACTTGCGGAAGTCTTGGAGTGGGAAATGGTTAATTTCATGAAGCATTTAAAGTACTTTATTACGATTTATTGATGAGGGTAAGGCATGCAATAAATAAAACGTTGCAAACGCTTTCCTGATAACCGCTAGACATGGAATGTGGTAGATCAGTTCTTTCTTCAGAATGAAAACTACTCTTACAAATGTATTTGTTTATCTGTGACCACTGATCCCACATATCGGATGTGCATATTTATTTTATAATATGCAGGAATGTTTATATTGGCTGTGGCCATTCCATATTAAGTGTGGTTATGAAGTTAGTGGTTTTGTGCACAAATTCTTTTTTAAAGCTCCATTCAGTTATGCAGTTCCATGTCCCTCTCTCGGCTACAGATGTCCTGAGATAAAAGTTTAATACGATTTATATTTACCACACGGCTACCATTAGCACAGTATTTACAATGTTAAAAGTAGCTGTGCTGTTTTTGTCTAACCAAGGCAGGGAAAATAACATTTTTCAATGCACGTTGTCCCCACGAGGGTTTTATATGCGGGATGGTATTTTAAACACACAAAAAACATTGAGAAAATTCATTGGAGGATCTCGCAATCTGCAAGGCTCGATGAGAAAGAGAACAACGGAGAAATGTATTTGTTTAAAGGGAGATTATGCACCTACAAAAGTGACCTTTTAGGCGGTTTAGTTTTGTTTCACAAAGGCTAAGCGTTGAGCGCAATTCACGTACGTATGTACGTTGAACGTCTTTCCCACCATATGTAGCCGAAAGTGCTAATCAGAGCTGCGGGAAATCGGAGTGCAGCAGTTTTAGTTTTTGTCCAAGCGACGTGCGGAGTCTGCTTGGCCTGCCGCCTTCGGTCCGTTCCTGCGGCCCTCACGAAAAACAGCGTCATGCAGCGGACCACGCAGCCCCAGCTCCTATTTTACAAAAACAAACATTCCCCTGTTTTCTTTACATATTATCATGCGCAAAGTCCACACATTGTGCGGACCAATCCGTTATATTTTTTTGTTTAAACGCACGCTGTGTATTTATTTCTTCTCGTCTTTGACAGCGTGTCCCCGTGGCAGTGTGGAAGCACGGGGGAAGTGAAAGTCCACAAGTTGGAAACCCAACTTAAAACAGCGGAGTTATGGGAAAGGGATCAGGGTGAACAACAAGCCGGTCTCTCGTTTCTGACAACACAGGGAACAGGACAGCGTGGCGGAAGTGGCGAGGCAGCCAATAGAGTTCCTGCACTTAGCCCCCACTCACCCTCTTCTCAAGAGGTGTGCTGGGTTTTGAGATATGCGTTTAAAATTCCAATCTCCCACGTAAAGTTATATGATGTTTTTCGTGTTGATCTATAGCGTAGTTGCAGCTCGACTACGATTGATGCCTCCGACTCTACCATTCATCTTCTTGGTTCTTTCGGTAAAGTCACGTAGAAGGGAAGTAATAAAATAATAAAAATAAAACATAATAAAATAATATTTTATTACTTCCCTTCTACGTGACTTTACCGAAAGAACCAAGAAGATGAATCCCTGAAGTCACGAAAGCTTTAAATCGAAATCTACCATTCATGTCGCAGCAGGACGTGCGCTTTGTTAAATGGGTAGCGATAGTCGGCTATAGCCACGGGCTCCGCAAGCTATCACAGTGGTTGGTGAGCATGTAGACCATGATTGGACATCACAGCAATCGGTGTATGCAGCATGTTGGCTGTTTAGTACCGAGTCTCTGGGGCTGTGAGGAGCCATGTGAATAAGGTGGGTATCATGTTTGGGTGGCCCTTGGCCCACACGCCTCATTTGGCTGTGTTTGCAAACAAGCGGCACTAACCCCTCACCCTGCCTCCCTCAAGTCAAGTCATCAGATTAGAGGCCAAGGCATCCCATTTCCTCTCAGGCATGTCTAATGGTATTAACATAAGCTTTAGAGTCCTACTGTATAAAATGCCTGCAGTCGGGCAAGTGCTGACTTATTTGTCTCAAAGATGGCGTGCTTTCTATCTTGGGATGATAATGATAATTGATTGGAAAGTGACATTTACATACCATCCCCTTACCCGTGCCACCTGTACTAAAAATACAACTTCCCAATAAGCAAACTTGTTGGTGCCATTCCTTTCTCCGTGCTACCATATGCCACGTGTGAGAATGTAAGGCGTGGGTTGGCTTATCCAAAGGATGACTATTGTTGGTCAATGAACAAATGTTTCGGAACTCTCGAATGTTATCTGTGGGCGTTTTCATTTGAAATGCATCTCGCGTATAATTAAGAATCCAGACTGCAACTCAAGCAACATTTCAGATTGAGTACCCTGAAGAGACATTCCGCAAACACTTTATCACTAAATACCACACATCTGAATGTCGACAAAACAACAAAGGCATGCCGATTGCAAGCCATAGCTGTTTAATCCCCCCTTGTTGTGACTCAAACTACTCTTTTGGAGACTTTCTAACTAAACACGTTCCTTCGGAGTGGGCAGGTAGGAACTTGGTTGGACAGCGCATTTGTACGATCCGTGTCAAGCGGCGTAAGCTGCGTGGGGCGGCGCATCACGTGGTGCTGAGCCCGCCCGAAGCGCTCTATGAAATACAAATCGAGGGCGTGGCTATGCACGATAGACAGACAAATAATCCCTGGTGGGCAGTGGGGAACTGTTGTTCCTACCTGTATTAACTCTGTAACAAGGGGTCATGATAACTTCCATGAACGTGATACAATATTAATACATATGAGTATAATGTACGTATTGCAATTAGGGACCTCGGCCTATATAAAGCCAGCCAAATTGAGAAAAGGATTGCTCTTTGATCCATTTGCCCATTGGATGGCTCAGGAGGTAATGCTATCACTAATTAAATACTCTGAGGACAAATACATGTTTTGAAGCTACATAATCCATGCATATGCATGCATTTTCTTGAAACAGAGGTGGGGACTGATTAGATGATAGAGCTTTCCATTAACAAGGCAAGATACAGTCCTAACGGAGACAACCAGCCCTGCTGCTAACTAGCAGCGAGGCAAAACTATGTGTCTAGCATTTGAAATATATTTTTTGATTTTCCAACTCATGGTTTAAACATTCTAATATATTTTTTTAAACTATCCATCTGGAAGGGAATGCAGTTTCACAGTGTACTGTGTGCATGGAACACGTCTGATTTTTTTTGCCAAATACTTTTATTTCCCCAATGTGAAAGTCATGCAAATGTCTAAATCAATTAGTTATTCATGATTAAAGTTCAATTACCAGCCATGCATAATATAATAATGGTGCTGATAATATAAGCATTTGAATCATTATAAGGTTTTGTAATGGTTGCATGAATATTTAAATGATGAGGACAAGGATTATGACTGATATGCATGTATGTTGAACTTCCTTCGCACCGTTTGTGGCCAAGCGTGCAATTCAGATATGAAGGTCAGACTAATGGTGATTGTGAGGAAGACGATGACGATGACTGCGTAGAACCTGAACATTGCGACAAAGACCATGAGAACGAGATGGCAAGCCCTTCAGTGGCGTTGCAGTGGCAACTCTGACGTAACGCAGGGGACACGCGACCAGTGCCCACCAGGTCTTGCTAACAAATGTGCCACGGCTGCTTGCTCTCCCAGCAGTCACTCCATGTCGCCCATTTGCACGACCATGTCTGACGGCGGCGGAGCAGCTGGGCTCTGGTGACGAGAGGAGCGCTATTAAAACAGCGCCGCAGCAATCGGTTGGAGCAGCCTCTACCGCGCACACTCCCGTAGTTCCATGGGCTCCATTGAGTTCAAAAGAACTCACAAAGACCTAAACGTAGAAGATCCCTGGTTTTGATCCTCCACAAAGCTCATCGACCACCCTAAACTGCATTCGTACAAACCATGGCAGATGCGGATAGCCGATGCACTAATGATACATTAAAAACTCTACAGTGTGCGACCGTGGTCATCCAGAACAGACCATAACAGCATATAACTACGCAATGCCCAATCCACAAATACAAAGGACACATAGGAGCGATCCACTCGGCTGCTCCTGATGAGGTTATATGTCTTGACCACCTGAATGTGTAAATTATAGTTGTTCTGCATCTACAATCAGCCGTACGAAAGAAGAAGACGGTTTTCATGAAATGAAAGGAATCGTAATGAGAATTTTAGTTCTTGTTCCAAGCCCGAGCCTAAAGGCGAACAAGCTGTGAGTTGGTCTGTGTTGAAGACTAATAGTGCTGCAAAGGTTTTCTAGGGAAAGTAATTTTTCCTCTACCGATTTAGAACCAGAATCTGTATTTATTCTGGATAAATCCGATGAGCTATGAAGCTCTTTTTCACAGATGTCCAGTCAGAAGGATACAACAGCAAATTACTCTATTTCCTAAGTCAGGTAATTGTAGTTCTGAAAGTGGCACTGTTTTATTGAGGAAAGTAATACATACTCTTCGGTTATTTCGGTAAAGTTAGATAGATAGAAAATGTATATATCACGACGTTTCAATCGCAACATAAGCAACCGTCATCAGGTGAGACAGCAGGAGAACTGCTGTCTCGCCTGATGATGGTTGCTTGTGTTGCGATCGAAACGTAGTGATCTATTAATTTTCTATCTACGTGACTTTACCGAAAGAACCAAAGAGTATGGATTCCTTGCAGCCACGAAAGCTTCAAATCAAGAAAGTAATACAATTACTAGGTTATTTTCAAGATCTTATTTTCGAATAAACATGTGAGTTAAAATATCTCAACGTATGCTGTATTAAGCTGATTTAACCCCCACATTTCAAGAATACTGAATAGATGTAGCACAATTAACGTCCTTGCAATCACCCACATTGCTTGCACAATTTTCCCCTCTAGTTTTTTATGATAAAATATCATTGTTATAACTACATGTAAACCTACAAATTAAATAACAAATTCGTGCAATAGTAATGATTATCTGGTTAGACACGGAAATGCAATGGTATTGAATGCACCTTTTAGTTTTATATGGTGAATCTAATGAGATTAACACTATTACGTGTAGTGCATTGCTTCAAACAATGGCGGAGGCTGTCAATCTACATAATGCCTTGCTGCAGTGGCAGGCAGGTACTCGTAGACAGCAGTCTTATCCGTGTAGGTTTTTATATGGCAACTCACTGCCATTGTATACATCTCCAGTTTCAGTTAAAAGTGCAATAAAGACTTAGCTAAACATCCCGAGCAAGACGCTCCTGGAAGTAAAGTCTTGAGACTCTTTTTCATGTTTTTCATGTCCTGAGTTTAAGTACTCAAACTGGTCATCAATGACTGCACAAAATAACTATTGTAAAAAAAATGGATTTGCACTTAATTATAGTACCACCACCTATGATGACTTATTTGCGTACTTATCTGCATAACAGAAAGCCTTTCTATTCTTTGGGTCTTTCAGTAAAGTCACGTAGATAGGTTAAAAAAAACTACGACGTTTCGATCGCAACACAAGCCGTCGTCATCAAGAAAAGGGGGTTAGCCTCTCAAGGCAAATTGTTTATAAAGGTTTAAAATGGGCGTAGCCCAAGAGTCAGCAGCATGGGCGGGGTAGCTAATGTTAATGCAAGGGAAGTTGCTGCTAGAAGTGATGATAGTAGTGGGCAGTGATGGTCCAACAAGGACTGAATGCTGATGTACCGGCCCTGGTGAGACACTGCCTCACCAACACTTACTTCACCTGGAATGGAACACTCTACAAACAAGTTGAAGGTATTCCAATGGGTTCTCCCTTATCTCCGGTTGTAGCCAATATTTTCATGGAAAATTTTGAGACATACGCCATCCAGGCATCCACTCTACGTCCGCCCTTGTGGAAGAGGTATGTAGATGACACGTTCGTCATATAGCCACATGGCCGACCAGTTCTGAACCAATTCCTCAACCACATCAATTCCATACACCCAGCCATAAAATTCACCATGGAGGTGGAAAAGGATGGCAAGCTACTATTCTTGGGTGGTTTAATCTAAAAGAGACCAGATCGCTCAATGGGTCACTGTCTACAGGAAAGCAACCCATACGGATGCCAACCTAAAACCTGACTCCCACCACCATCCATCCGAGAAGAATTCCCTCATCAAAACTCTACACCATAGAGTTCAATGTATTTCCAACCATCATCACCTAGCCAGTGAACTGAAACACGTACACCAAGCTCTCAAGACGAATGGATATTCAGACTACACAATCCGTAGAGCTATCACCCCAACCATTGGGAAAGAACCATCTGAGGACCCAATCAAAACTATCACCTTGCCATACATAGCAGGGGTCACCAAAAATATTTCCAAAATCACAGGAT